TAGAATAAGTAGATTAGTTTGTTTGATAGAATAAACTAATTTTTAATTCTACAGAAGTAAAAATGTGATCACATATTCCGATTTTTTGGTAAAATATCATTTGAAAGAGCTGTAGATCTTTTGAAAGAGAGTGATTTGGTTTGTGCTTGCTGCTGCTGAAAGTATAATCAATTATATGTCATAGATCACAAATTTTGTTTGCTGAAATACATATTTATCGTAGAAATATGAAATTTAAAATTACCCACATTTTCTAAACATTGCTTTTCTTGCACCGAGTGTCCGATAACAACCGAGTAGCCGATAACGCGTTGAGCAGTGTGATCTTTGTCTTATATGATCTTTCGCGTTCTTAAAGGTACTTGGACACAGATTTGAAGTCAATTTTTTCTCTATAATATTACGACTTATATATTTTAATAGCATTTCACACAAAAATCAATTAAAAATCTTATTTTATTTATAAGTTATTAAATTTTTTATTTTTTTGGCGGGTTTGATTGACACGTCCTTGCACTTTCACAAATTTTAACTTTATTCTCAATCCTTAGGGAAAATGGCAATCTTGTTGTGTATTAATGAAAAATATTAATACTATAATCCAGAAAATTAAGAGTAGACATGTTCGAAAGCAAAACACACACACAACGTATTGTCAGTCCGTGCAGTTGTGGTGAGCAGACTTTGGCAATTAAACGCACCCGGTGAATCGTAAACACAAAACAATAACACGCTCTTGCCTTGTTTACAAAAACTGTGTACATAACACGAGTGTGTTCGATTTGCTAAACTCTGTACACAACGGAATGACAATACTTGTGAAGGAGTTTTGCTTTCTAACATTTCTACTCTGATTAAAATTTTTTTCTGGATTTAAGTTTTAATATTTCCCAATAATACACAACAAGATTGCCATTTTTCCTAAGGATAAAGAATAAAGTTAAAATTTGTGAAAGTGCAAGGATGTGTCAATCAAACCCGATCACAAATCAAACCCGCCAAAAAATTTAAAGTTTTAACATCTTTTTAATGAAATAAGATTTTTAATTAATTTTTGTGTGAAATGGTATTAAAATATATAATTCGTGATATTATAAAGAAAAAATTAACTTCAAATCTGTGTCCAAGTACCTTTAAAATTATAAGCTAAAACTCAAATTAATATGAACTTCAAACAATATGTATTTGGGAGATGATACATTCACTCTTTGCTTTGAAAACAGCTCAGGTGGATTGAAAATGAATTTCGATCTGCAATTCCAATCCGACGTTTTCCCCACGTCCGCGTCGAATTCTACCCGCCCATTTCATTGTCTATCACTGAATGTTTTGATTGTAACAGATAGAAATGACGTAAGTTGTATATTTCCAATTTTGCCAGTTAATGTTCCGCGGTCTTAGAGACTTCATATTTGGTTTGCATACTACACTAATTAAGTTCTTTCAAATGACACCAAGGTCAATGATCTTATGACCTTGATTTGACTTATCTGCTAAAAATAGTTTTTTGAACTTTGTTGTCGCCGGGCGCATGATAGTGTTTCACAAACACACCAGGTTTTAGATTTGAATTTTGACATTGACTGTAAATTTCGAGTTTCGATTGGAATTGAGCTCCATTCGTTTTTAACTATACAGTAGGAATAAATGTCTTACAAGTTTTTAATCGACATTGTTGGAATATCATAATTTTGAGAATTCCTTGTAGAGGCCTGTGTTACAGCGCGTATCTGGAAATATCGTCCATGAAGTATTCTGGCACTAATTAAATTATTATGAAGTTTGAACATTGTTTTTAATCTAGCTTCTTGTCTTCTACAACTAAGAGGTTCCCATTCCGTTTCAAAATAGAGTGCATCTTTGGAGTTTGGAACCTATAGTTGTTAACCCTGTTAAAATTCTATAGCTGCATAAAGTTAAGTTTTTCTAACTTATCATTATCACCATGCACACTGAAGCGTAATTAAGTTGCTGTCTTATGAATGATGTATACATGAGTTTGAGATAGAGTTTTTCGATTTACTTTAAATTTTAATTTTTTCAAAAGAGATGTTTTATAGGCATTAGACAGTATATTCATAATATGAGGTGATTAACTAGCATCATGTGAAATAGTACTCTGAGGTGTGTTCAGTAGTGAAGTCTAATTGACATTGTCAAAAAAAGCTTTAATTAATTAATTAGGATATTCAATGCATGTTTTTCTTTGTGCTAAAAATTATTGCTTTAGTTTTAGAGGGATAAAATTTCAATAACCATTTTAGACCAAAGTTCTATGTCTAGCATTTAAATCTTTATTGAAGTCTCTTTCAATTATTTTCACATTATATATGTGACGAATGCTGCAAAGAATTATCATCAGCAAATAATCTACAAAATGTAACCATATTACCATCAGCATCAGTCACATAAGTTAAGAACAAAAGTGGTCCTAAAACCAACCCTGGGAAACACCAGCTAGCTTATAATAAGGGTCTGGGTGTTGATAACAAGAAAGTTTTTGTGTTATGTAATATTCAGATGCAGCATTTTTAGAAAGCGTCAACTTCAGATAAAACCAGTTTCAAAATACAGAGAACTCCCGCTTTTGATAGCCCCTTTTTGCCTGAAGGAATTGTAGCAGAAACCAACAAATGAAAGATCCAACTTTTTTGTTAGATTGGTAGATTAGCTGTAAATTTGACAATTCGACATTAAAAAGTAATGCATTTCACTACAGAATGCATCATATCCATCTAAGAAAAAGAGTATGACAAATTATGCAAATCATACATTTTTCAACGTATTGTTCTTACTATGAGTTTCTATTTTTGATGAGTAATTAACATTTTCATGAATAATGTTTGCAAATTTCTTATTACTTTTTGAATTGTACCATCATGACTCTAGATGCCAATGGTAATATTTACATAATTTTATTACTATTGTTTTCATTTTACATGCTTTTACATCCAAAATATTTCTTTTTAACTGTGTAATTAACTTATCGGTAAAACAAAAATATCTAATTAATTTTTAGCATTTGTGATGTCCTGCTGAAATAGAAAATAAAAGTCTTAATAAATATTTTTAAAGGTAAACCCGACTTGATTTTTTCCATAACGCATGGTCTGTAAAATGGCCAGGCCAGGGGTTCGGACCGCGGATGATTCCGCTAACTGGTTATTATACCGTAAATTCGTCACCATTATAATGCATGTGTCGAAGAAAAGCGATACGTACATGTACAGGTTTATCTTATAAATAAATATAAATTTTCACTTGACTCCTGACCTGAAGAATGTTACGATGTTGTCATATTTGTTTTAGAAAATAATTGTATTTAATTCCATGATACTGGCTTCAAACGCAGGTCGGTTTATTTCGTTAATTATGGAAGAAGTAAATGTACGTTAACTCATGTTTTGACACTGAAGTTAAAATTATCTATTGTAATCTTGAAATGAAATCCCCCTTTTAAAATTAAAGTCATAATATACATGTATATATGCATGATTTTTCTTATCATTTATTTAATTATTTGATAGATTGATTTTATTTATGGCATATTCTTATGAATTAAAAAAGAACGCTTCGATAGCTTCTTAAGTTGGCCAGTGCGGTAGGCATCAAAAGCCTGAATGTTAATTCGATGGTCGGTACGTTCTCCAGACATTGAAGGTATACAAGATATACACAACAGCAGAAAGCTAAATGTCAATCAAATCAAAGTATCCAATCCCATGTTAATTTCAGATAGCTGAAATTATCAAAAGCCTGAATGTTAATTCGATGGTCGGTACGTTCTCCAGACATTGAAGGTATACAAGATATACACAACAGCAGAAAGCTAAATGTCAATCAAATCAAAGTATCCAATCCCATGCTTAATTTCAGATGGTTGACGGGGTTCCAAGACCAGGTAAATTTGAAGGAGTTGCTTATTTCCACCCCCCTTTAAGGCGAAATGGGAACACCCCTTTTATTCGTGCCAACACCTGTGACACGTACAGGACCTCGGTATATTCGGTCTCACCCGAAGGACCGGCCTCCATGATTGTGGGACGTGGCCAACTCCTTACTCCGCGACTGTAGAACAGACGCTCTAACCACTGAGCCGGGGGGGGGGGGGGGGTAATAATTTTGGGTATGAAACATACAGGACATACGCTACGCACCTCACCTAGTTCATAGATAAAAAAAATCATTGTGCAATACCAGGTTAATAAAAAAAGTTATCAACTGTTGAAAAGTCTTGGATGAATCAAAGAAAAATATATTAAAAAAAATTCTAAACATATATATTCTATATGTTTGTTTTATCAAAAAATGTTTTAGAAGTGTACAACACCATATGTAGACATTTTAAAATATAGCACACAGTTCCTTCAAGAATTAAAACTCTTCAACTCCATGGAAAAAGACAAAAAAAGTTCAAACTACGTTGCGTATGTCCTTAAGTGAGAAAAACCGTGTTATGATCCGGAAGAACTTATTTAAAGAACAAACGAGCGAATGAGTAAGACCAGTGCTCACAGTACCTCTTTTTTTTTTTATAACTTAATTGAAAGCAGGAGGGGGGGGGGGGCAGAGAACAAAAAGTCACCTCCCCCGAAATAACTTTACAAGCAAAAAATTAATAGTCATTTCCGGGGGGAGGGGTCAGGTTCTTTTAGTACAATTTTTTAAAAACTCAATCATGCGACATTACCCTTATTTGACTGAACTACAACATACAACAACAATGTTCAACACAAAGGGGGTGTTCAATAAGAGAAGAATTTTTGTTATATAAATGTATGTTACATATTCTACAACATGTTACTATTGAACGAAGTCTCTGGTATGAATCAGTGGAACTGAACTAGAGCTATGTATTTCTCAACCAAGAAATTTTGAACATCTGAAAAAATTAAAATGTGCGCATGACGCGTACATTTGTTATATTATTCCGGGAAAGATACGTCCAGTTTTATTCATTTTAATCATTAGAATTTAGTCATATCCGGTTCGGGAACTGCAGGAAATATTGTTTCATTTTTTACCGATTATTGTTTGGTAGTCATCGTTGGTGGTTCCTTGTTCTTGTTGATTTAGCCATCTATGAGGTGATAAAACAATCTACAAATAATTTTTATTTTACATGACTTTCCACGGTAAAGGTACTATTCAAATTGAATAAATACACTTTGTCCAAATTACCTCCCTTTCAGCTTCATATGAGGCTTTTTTGGAATATTTTATTGACTCTTCGTACTGTCTTAACCGAATTTCCAACATTCTGTGTATTTTTTAAAACTGCTCTTTTAATGTTTGTTTGTGAAAAGAGACTGATGTTAGTGAGACCACTTTTTAAAAAAATAAATACCGTATAATCCCTATTAACAGGTCCGGCACAATGTCTTGATTAAGCTATATAGCTTAATTTAGCTATATAGCTTTATTAAGCTATTCAGAATAGCTTGATTAAGCTATTTTTTCATACTTTTTTCTCAAATGTGTTATTTTTTCAACATGTGCAAAAAGTTTCATTTTCACTTCCTGCAGTGGAAATATTAAACTTTGTTTTCTTCTGAATACAATGCATGTAAAAATTACTCACCAAATTGCGTCTCATTGAGAGACTTTGTACTCAAAAATTTAAAAGTTTTGTGGCTATTGATGAGTTACAACACAGTTATTTCTTGAATGAAATTATAAAGGAGGCCAGTTATGGCCAACAGGATAATTGATTAAACAGTTCACACAATGAGAAGCAATCATACTTACCCATGCCTCACTGCACATTCAGTTCCTCAAACAATGGAAATTCTTATTTTGCTTAAAGTATTCAACAGCAGCAATGTAAGAATTTTCTATGATTTAGGTTGTATTTTTGGTAGTCCATAATACATATATGAATAGTCAAATACTTGCGACTTTTTGTTTATTTCTTTCAAAAAACGTTTTTGTGAAAAACTGCATATAAATAGCTTTATCAAGCTATTCTGAATAGCTTAATAAAGCTATATAGCTTTTTAAAGCTATATAGCTTAATCAAGAGATTGTGCTGGACCTGATTAACCGCCCTTAGAAAAGGGCGCTTAGAAAATTGCGAAAAGGGGCGGTTATTTAGGTATTCTCTTTGTAATATTTAATATCAACTTCAAAAAATAATTTGAAACAAAAATTAATTCAAAGAATCTCCAAAGTAATGTCTAAGTTTACTTTAAAGAAAGATAATCCATCCAAATTATGCTAAATGAATCATTTTCCACCAAGAAATTGGATAATGAACAAGTTTCATTTTCACTTCCTTCAAATTTTGGTAGACTTTTGATATGATTCTTGATAATTCTAATCACTGTACAGGGGGCCCTTATTTCCTGACAATTGAAAAAGACCTAAGGGGGCGCTTATGGGGCAGGGGCGGTTAATAGGGATTAGACGGTATTCAGATATTCTTACTCTGAAATATATTTTCAGTGAAGATAATCATTTAAGATCATCATGAGTTACCAGAAGGTTTACATGAACCAGATCTACTCCAGCTCTATCATGAGACAGGTGGCTCAGATGTGGAAGAACCAGCTACTGTGTGATGCTGTCATTAAAACTGGGAATGTTCACACCAAGGTATGAAAAAAACCTCTTTCATGATGTAATATGTATCATGAAATTTTGTCTGCGTTATTATCAATACAATACATTTTGATGAAGGGGGCAGCGAATTCAACATTGTTTTGGGTTGTATTTTACCAAGCCCAGTCAATTTATCTAAGTACAAATTAACTAGAAGACATTGATTACAATGAACATGAATTGACTGTTTAAGTTTATTTTACAAACTATCGGTCATCACTCCTGAAAACTTCACATTTTAAAATTATGTTAAATTAATTTTGCTAATACAGTCTGATGTTGGTTTTATATTCACCAAAGGGACGTCAGTTTTATATAAAATCAACATATTTTTATTTATATCAATTTCCTGGTGCAACAACAGTTAATTTTTGGTTACGATTGTTGAAATTTTTTGTAAATTGTGTAAAATGTCGTATGCCAATAAAGATAAGTTGAAGTTCGCGGTCAAATGTCATGGAATTCTACTCGTGCTGAATGAATAAATTTAACCTTTTTTAATAGTTCAAATTATCAATTATATAATTGATTGTGTTCTTCCGATTCAATTTGATAATCGATAGTAAAATTTGTCCGATTTTACAACACTAACATCTACAGAGTACAGAATGCATTATGATTCCTATGAATTTTTTCCTAGAATTTAATGCAATTAATATGTGAATTTCCTTTTCATCTTTTCAGGCTCATAGGTTAGTGCTAATTGCTGCGTGTCCTATGCTTCAAGACACAGAAAATGCCTCAGTGGGATCACATTTAGAAGTTCGTCTGAATTCAGACATCAGTGAATCATCCGTGAAAATATTTCTGCAGTACTTGTATGAAGGCTACATGATGTTAACAGAGGAAAACTGTAGAGATGTGGAGAAAATTGCCAAAATGCTTCATGTAGACAGTATTACAAAATGTTGCACTGACTTTCAGAAATGCCTGAATGCTAAGATGGGATACAGTTCATCCCAAAGACTGAATTTTGATTTACAGGACAGTGCAGATTTTCGTTTTGTCAACACAACAGATTTGCAAAAAATGGTTCCAGAGGGTCAGCAAAAAAGACAAAATGAAATGATTTCAGGCAATCCGGCATCCAAGAGACCCAGATTCCAGTCATCTAGCTATGTCTCACATAGGCCAGATGATCACTTATCTATGAATGACAGCTATAACTCAGTTAGGAATTCAAAAGAAAAGGAGGGAATCATTGACATCAGTGAACAAAGTGTAGAACTAATAAACATTGGGCCAGGTGCAAGAGATTCAGATGGATGGCCTATTAACACTGATCTACCACCTATCAGAACCAGTTCCTCAGTCTCAGTGGCTAATCAACAGGAAAGAGAAACAGATGTGCAAATTGTTAATGTTCAACCAGCCAGAGTTGACAGGGCATCACATCAACCATCTCAACAAGGCAGCACTTCCACATTTGGGAGACACCAGGACCCAAGAAGCAGCACCATTGTGGCTGGTCAATCTCAAGTCATACCTGAAAGACCGTCAATTGTTCCAAGTCATTCACCAAAATCTACAAGGCGTCCTGATGAATCTCCACAGTATATGTCTTCAAACATTCCTCAGTTGTCACCCTTAAGCTCAACTTCACCAAAAAGTGTTCAGAAGCACAGAGAAAATGCAGATGATCATGACAGGCCCTTTGCTCTAGGCTCAGCCCCAACTGGATCAAGGTCTTTTTCTCTGCCCTCTTCCTCCACCATTCATCCTGTAGATGTTGTGAAAAACACTAGTCTGTACGAGTCACAGAAATTCACTTCAGACAACACAAAGCAAAATAGCACGACAATGGAGACAGGAAATAAAAGGTTTGCTTTTGAAAGTTTTAGAAGAACATGAAATTTATAGAGCAACAGAAAATGTAAAATGGCATGTTGTGGTCCTTATGTTAGAGTCAAATTTTATGCACATAGAAAACTAATTATACAGTTTATAACACAGAACTTCAGCTTCCCCAGAGCCAATCATTGTGAAGTTAGAGGATGATACCACTGAGTCTGGAGATATAGAACTGTACATCCAGAATCCTCAGAATGACTCCTTCAGCACTGATCCAGGAGATCCAGGTGGAGAAAGCCAGAGTGAACTGGATCCAGATATGTCTAATGATGGCAGCATGAGTATGGAGCCAGGGCCATGGCAGCAACAGGAAGGTCAAACACAAGGTGAGGACATTGGTTTTATAATAAGTAAAAGTTGCTGCAAACACCATAGGAATGCTGGTATGTTCTAGTTTTGCAAATAATATTTTTGAACATGTGAAGAGCTTTTATTGTAGTTGGACCTGGTACATGTATAATGCATTATACATAAATTATTATCCCAAAGTGACATGCCTATAATCCAGTAGCTGTCCGATGAAATTCATTACCTTTTGCAATATCTTCATAAATGAAAATTTTCAATGCAGAAAGCTCCTATTCTTCTTAAATATCCATAATCTTATCCATTTTGCAGAATGCCTACAATTCCCCTCCTTGAAATTATACAGCATTGTAAACTATCATAACTGCTATTTATATATGATTCAATTTTACAAGTGAGAATTAAACTTTAAATTTTAAAAAGAATTCTAGAAACCTTGAGAAATTTTCTTTTTCAAGAATTAACTTTTTTTCTAATTAGTTGTTTCTTTCCCCCAACATTTACTTGGGGCTAGTGACCACTGCCATGTGTGGGCTGGTGCCATTAGATTTTATTAACATTTTATTACTAACACCTTTTTTCTAACGACTTAATTGTTTATTGTGTTTATTTAATGTGGCTTACACCTCCCTTTTGAGAGAGAGAAAGATTATGAAACATTAACAGTTTCATCATGGCCATTGATCAATTCATTGGCATGCCATGAAGAGAGGCAAGACTACCGTAGCAACTGGAAGTCAATCAGCTGATGATCAATTTACACAGTACTGTCTCCTTACAAGAGTTATTCCAACATGTTCACTTTCTGAAAAAAAAATTACATATTACAGAAAGTAAAAGACGGGAACAGTTACAAAATCTAATAATTGACAAACATCAGAGCCAAGTTTTCTTGGTTTCTTTTGCTAGAGAAAATTTAACTTTCAAAATGTCCTACCCCCCTATTTTAACAAAGCACCTTTGTTTTGTCTTTCTTCATTGTGATATACGTTTTCATAATGAAGAAATAGGTATCATTTTAAAACATCTATTGGGATATAAATACGGGTTGGTCACGAGATTAAATTCCATAAGGCCAGAAGGGCTTTATGATGAATTTAATCTAGTACCAACCTGTATTTATTGCCCGATAGATGTTTTAAAATGATACCTTATTACTTATATTTACATTTGTGACTTATTTATACTTTATATTTGCCTGATTGTGACTTTTAACGTGTCAAATGCATCATTTTTCAAACCCAACGGCATGTATGTAATCCACTGAATGCGAGTCGGCCCTTTATGATGTCACAGAGAAATTTACTTCAAACCTTTATCCATACGCACATCTATGACCTCTTGACCCCGTACCTGTATTTATACAGTTATAGATACGCATTGCTTTCAGTGGTGTTTTATAAAGGAAAACCTTTGCAAATGTAAATATTTTTGGATTATCAAGTCCAAGTTTTAGACCAAAGTACCGCTAATAATATAACAATGTTTTCATCATCTCCTGACCCTGCTGAGCTGTTAGAGTTTACTTCAATTTGTACATCTAATGTTATATGAAAGTGCCTAACACTGTTTTTAAAGTGCTGAAAGATGTGGAAAGATGCAGTGTAGAAAAAAAAATCACAAGGACTTGTTCTAAGAGTAAAAAAAAAAACAATTAACTATTTAAACTTTCTATTTGGTAAACATAATAAAGTGTATATAATTTTAATAAAAAAAAATATTTGTTTTTCTTGGGATCAAGCCTCTTTAAAAATGCAATAAAAGAACTTAAGAAGGGAAGTTAACAAAAATACATTTAAATCGAATGTATCATGATGTATTGATAAAAATGTGAAAAGCTTAGGCTATATTTCGATCTTTTTTGTTACATTTGAGTTACCTAATTAGCATTCCTAATCCTTCTGCATGTCCATCGTGCTTTGTAATGTTAGTGTCCGTCATGTTTCATTGTTGTGTACTATTTTTTTTATCCTGTATATATATTATGCGAACATAAACTTTATCAAAATAGAATAAAAAAGGTTAAGAAGCTTAAATTGAAAAAAAATTATCTTTTACTTGTAGTAAAAAAATGGTTTAATGTGTTTGCAGCAACTTATATCATGATACTACTGTAAAAGCACAAATTTTTGGGGAGATAAAATTTCATTGATTTGTCATCTGAAATAGGGTTGTCAGCATTTAATTTCATTGTTATGAAAGTAACCCTATTCAAAATATAGTCGCATAAAAATTCTGTGTGGGATTTAATTCTGGTAATAATTGTTAACAAAATAACTGAAATTTTAAATTTCCCCCTAATATTTGTTCTTTTACACTCTAATATCTTGCATATTTTTATGATATTAATACTTTAAAATCTTACATCGTAAACATTGTAAGTACAGTGTACTGGTAAATAATCCTTCTGTTTTTTTTATGGCCAATCAATTTTGTTTCTTGATTGGAGGGGATGGGGTGATATGATTATGATATGTTGCCTGGTAAGAGAGAGAGAGAGAGAGAGAGAGAGAGAGAGAGAGAGAGAGAGAGAGAGAGCTACAGGTAAATAAGATATATCAGGTATGCATGATCCAGGAATTTGAGATAATGTTTCAAATTTAAAAGCCTCCAAATTAAAAAATTAAACACAACAATATTAAAAATGGTTGAAGTAAAAATTATGTTACTAACGAGCAGTCAGAAAACTGTACTTTTTGAGTGTCTCAGTTTCAAGCATTGATGTAAAACATACATGTAAAGCAAACTGATAAATGAATTGGTTTTCTAAAAACACACTCTTTGTTACTGTTTCATCATGAAGTATTGTGATGTCATTTGCTGTGCCAGATCACCAAAATTGTAAACAAACAAGAAGGAAAAAAAAGTCCTACCACGTTTAATTCATGGCTGTATTTTGTTCCTGTCGAGAAATCTTATTTGAAAATATATGACCCAGTCCCATTAAGGGGGGACCTATGTCATTCTACGTCAAAGCAGCGTTATGTGACGTCACAATAGCAACGTTTGTTTTTTTCCCGCTGACTTTTGCAACTGTGATTATAGGCTTAACATTGTAATTAATCAATAACGTACACAGTTTACAAAAAGAAATGTTTTTCATCATTTATAACAGTTTTATTTGATTTATGGAGTTTTTTAATATTAAAATTCTCTACCTTTGGTTGATAATTCATAGCAATTTCAGTTGTGAAGAAATACCTCCATGATATGCTGATATAAAAATGCAAAAAATATAAGATAAAGTTCAACAAAGACAACGGCTTAAATCAGGGAAATATGTTTAATTTTATGATTACCATGAATTGTATTTTCTGGATTAAACTAAGAAAATATTAAGAAATGAACTTGTACCTATATTTTATTAATTTTTAGTGTATGTAGATTCTATTGTATAAAGTCAATCCTAGGTTCTATTAGGTGTTGGTTGTTGACGGGGGAGAGGGGGGGGGGGGAGCAGAATGATTAGAAAGAAGAAGAAAAGAGTTTTATCTGTTTAAATTCTTTCTTATCAAAACAAAATACTTCTTTTTTTGCAAAATAGATTTATATTCAGATGTTTGTCAGTGCTAACTTTCCCTTTTTTTAGTGCAGAAAGGTCAATATTTATGACAGAAGAGTACGAAAATAAAAGAAAACGTCATATTTCTCGTTTATTATATCATAAAGGTATACTTTTTTCTTTGTTAAAATAAAGAGAGGCGTCATTTCTTTCAAAAAATATTAATTACAACATTTTCACACAAAGACTTTTTAAGATATTACCTGTTATGCATGTCGGAATTGTAAAAATTACGACAAGAAAAACGGGGTGATACTTACATTGTGCTCCTGTATAATTTTTCATGCGAGATGAATTACAATGAATCTGCCTTCATTTTCAAGATACAAGTCATATAAATTAAATACATGTTGATTTCGAATGTGATTTGACATTTTTGGTTCTTTTTAGCGCATATTTGGAGTAGAACAATAATGTCTGAAGATAATCTTTTTTTAGCATTCCACACTGTTTTTGCACGTGCCCCTGTGTAAAAATAAGCATATAAAGGTATTGTTTTTAATACCTAAAAATTAAAAGCAAGTGGTCAGGAAAGAAATGTCAAAGTTTTGAAAATTTCACACAAAGACTTTTCGGACATAGGTCCCCCCTTAATACTTGTATACATTGTTAAAAATGGTATCATCCTTATTTCAAAATCTTTTAAAATCCCTGTATGTCATTGTGTGGATCAACTCCATTGAAATTTTATCCTTCATTTATGATAGAAGAATAAATATGATAAATACATGTTTGCATTCAATGTACATGTACATTAGGTTATTCCAAATATTTAATATGATGATGTTGTAATTCTTTGTATAAAGTTACAAGCAATTAACATGATTAATAGAACGTGAAATTGAAAATTCTTTATTTAAAAAAAAAATCAAATTACAGTAAAACTCAGTTATAGCGAAGTCACTGGGTCTTGTCCATAATTCGTTATATCCGTATAAGGAATATGTTAAATTCACATGCTGGGGATCAAAGATAACTTCGCTGCATCTGTGAATTCGCTATATCCATGTTCCTACTAAACGAGTTTTGCTGTATCAGCAATACTTGTATATTTAATACACTGTTTTCTGATTATGTTAATCAAATATTTTTATGTATGGTAAGAGTAATGATTCAAGTGGTATTACAAAAAAGTCTATAACTGTGTAACATAGATATATCTTATTTTGAATGTTCCCAATAAATATGAAAGAGAAAGACTTAAAAGCGTATTATCATAGGACTTCATTGTACTTTAGACCCAGCAAATAGCTTTATGAAGAAGACAGCTGTTGGAAATAATAATAACTGCTCAAAGGAATCATCAAGAAGGAAAGCCAATATCAGTGGAGTGGAGAAGCTTACAACACAAGTGAATATCCTAACGAAAGACATGTCCAAACTTTGCGAGAGTAGTTTCTCAATTCAATATATGGTGGAAGAGCTGGTAGAAAGTTCCAACACTATTGAAAAACTGTTGATAAACATGACACCAGGAATGGATATTGATGAGGAAATAGAGGAAACGGGGACAAATGGAACTTTAGGTGAAGGTGGAACTTCAAGAATCCCTGAGTCCTCTGAGAGTGACCCGGTAATTGCTCAGAAGAAATCAATGTCCAACACTGATAAATTCTTTGCAATGGCAGCTGATTCTGCTAAGACTCAGGCCAAAAGTAGGCGTAGAGATGATTTTTCTGACATTCCAAAGTCTTACCGAATATCTAAAGTGGCACTGGAGGAAATGAAAGCAAACTCAAAGAATGCTGGGGTTTTTGCTGGAAATGTCATCAAAATGTTGTTTCCAGAACTGTTTGGTCCAAGCAATCTGAGATTTAAGTATTCCTTCTTTGGTGGTGGTATTTTAAAGAAGAATGAACTGGATCGTCAAAGGAAGTCATACATGAGGCGTTATGTGACAGCAATGTATCCAGGAATCTTTTCTGAAGGGGACTGGAAAGACATTGTCAACAAAGTGAATGAAATGTTACGACGTCCTGCACATACAAGCAGAAAAAATGTCAAAAGTGAAATGGAAGAGAATAACGACAATTGACAGCCATACTATTTCATTTACAGCAAAGATCAGTAATTCTGGCAAAGTTCTTACGGAAATTCCCTCAAGTACTCTAAGTAAAATACCCTAGTGTCTGTCAATAATCACTTTTGAACTTGAAAATAACTTACAGATTAGAGAAAATGTTTATCTTGTTGATTTTAATATGTAAAATTGCTTTTTTCAGCATCATCTTAAACAGGTGTTTCATAAATATTTTTTGGGGGGCTTTATCCATTGATTTTACATTGTGATTTACTTTGATAAATTTTGGAAGTTAAGAGAGGAAGGGATAGAAGAACATGTATACATACATTGAAATATCTCAATGTAGATTACAAGTGATATTTTTGAATATACACATGTATTGAACAATCAAAATGCATGTATACAATGTAATAAGGTATAGTCTGAGTGATAACCAAGCATCTAATCTGTATCATTGGAGGCTAATCTGAGAGACTGGTCGGAATAGACGGGATTCTGTTATGTTTTTTTTTTTTTTTTAGATTTTTTTAATTAAATATTTTCTGAGATTTTTCTTATTGGATATTGAATTAATTAAGTATATTCAATAGATTTTCCTCCAATGAAATAAATATCAAATAATATTACTTGCAAAAAAAATTTGAAAAGAAGAGTTGGAATGGACATGGAATTTAGAGGAGTCTATCAATTGCACTTTGAAAAAAAACCCCTTTCATATGTTAAATACTAGTACCAGGTAAATTGCATGCTTTCATAAAGTTCCTTTTAGTCTTTAATTTGTTCAGTTTCTTTGCAATTATAGATTTAAATTGTAGAGATTGGAAGTTTAAACTTGGAAAAAAGATGAGATAGGACTCAGAATAAAGGCTATATTTAATACATCCTAGCTAGGTTTAAAAGTAATAAAAAGGTTTTTTGTACATGGTCAAACTTCCAATAAGATAAAGAATAGTTTAACTTTGTGAAGTAGGAAAAGTACTTAGGAGTGTGAAAGCATGCTACAGTATATATCTTTGAAATGTACAGTAAATTTCATTTCAAGTAGGGTTAGGATATAAGAATAGACCAATTTATAAGTATGCCCTGTTTTGCATGTGTCTTGCTGGGTTATTAATGATTCAAATAACTTATTTTATAAAAATAATAAATTTCCTCATTATTTTTTTTAAAGTAAAGAACTTCTTAACCAAAGTTTTTCTCTTGGTAGGTGTCCATGCCTCAAGTTCAAAGAAAGTTGTTTCTCAGGAGGCACCAGTTGTTCCCGTGGGCATGCCTATTTGTGCAAAAATTGCTGGTAGTTTTTTCTGCAAACATTGCAGTGAAAGATTTTCATATGAGATAGACTTAGTTCAACACCTCCAAGCTGTGGAGAGGTTAAATGTTTGTAGAGTGTGTCGTGTTTGTGGGAAATATTTCAGGTCTTCGAATGGGCATAAATATCATATGCTAATGAATCACAATGCCAATAAAAGTAATTATCGTTGTCAAATTTGTGGAAGATTTTGTCAGGGTGCCAGCTTTTTACGAAAGCATTTGAAAACTCATGACAAAGCTAAAGAGTAATTAAAATTTAGGATGCATTTGTCTTTTATCCCATCTCAAGTGATCTGTGTCATGTGTCATGTTTGTGAATTATATTGAAAATTTCCAGCTTAATGACGTATGACAATTGTGAGTTTGTTTAGTGCATATTGCAAATTGTTCTTTGTAGGGTTTGTTCACTTGCTGTTATATAATTTTTTTGAAATATCATAGAATGGTATAAAGTGAATTTCATTGTCAATATAGACAATACATTTACATTTTTGAAAAATCAGTGCATCATTGAATTAAATGATTTTCATGAAAACAATATTTTTGGTAGTTTTTGGAGTTTCATTGGAATGTCTAATTTTACTAGATTTTTTGAAAATTCAATTCTACACATGGTGTTTAATTTTGTTAGGTGAAGATAGTGTTATTTTTGGATAACTTTGAATATCAATATGATAAAAGTACATGTATCATACATTAACTTGTATTGTCTCGAACCCTGGCTCACTTATTTAAGAAAATGAAATATCACTATAACATGTATCCACATTAAAATACTAAAGTTAAATTTTAGTGACAATTACCTCTCTGTAGAATTAATTCAGTGGTATGTATATTTCTAGTTGTAAAGATTTATAATTAAGTTTTTGAGTTAGAACGTAGTGTTGGTAAATGTTATGTAGCATTTAGTAAGTGTTATAATTTTCCATTATACATGTACACAAAAGTTTGAATGATAAATTGCAAAGGCAATAAATGATTTAAAATAACTTTGTATTTTTATCTTTTATTTATTTATTTTTATGATGATCAATGAGTTGTTTTAATATTGCACAAATGTCATACATTAATGAAGGAAACAAAACCTCCACCATTCTTAGAATAGAAATATATTTGCAAAATTATGACACTAGTATATACTTCCTATCGTGACACACAAAACAAACCATTTAGATCTTTTACATCTCTAAACATTTTTAAATGAAAACGTGTCTTGGGATTTGAATTACATATGTAAAAATTAAATGTTAGCTGAAGGTGATTGCTGCAAATGGACCTGTATGGCAGCTTAAACAAGACCCAGTTCATGTAGGAATTGATCTTAACCTATAAATGTTTAACTTATTATTTACTCAGTTCATGCCTATCACTATTTAATAAAGTTAGTTAAACATTTTATTAATTATAGTACTGGGTCATTGTAAAAGATATCATGTCAGTTCCATTTGCTGTGAAGAAAAGAAAATGAAACGATTTCTCTTTTCTCTTTGTATCTCTGAACTTTTCTCTCTTCTTAGGGATCAAAGGGACGGGAGAAGTCGGATCTACAGTTAGACCGAGTAGTGGGTCGTTCCAGTGTAAAAAATGTGGAAAGTGTTTCTCCGATAGCGCGTCACTCGTAACACATCTTAAAGAGGTCGAAAAGAAAAAATCCGTTCAAGTATGCGATCGATGTGGAGAGGTTTTCTTCTTAATGCGAACATACCGATATCATTTGCAAATCAGCCATGGAATTGTTACCAAGTGTCCCAAGTGTTCAGTTTGTGGAAGTTATTTCCAAGACAATTACAATCTCAATCGCCACATGATAACCCATCGGCCAATGCATACGTGTAACATGTGTGGTCATAAGTATAAAAATCAGTCCATGCTATCGGTTCACCAAAAGTTTTGTCTCAAGAATATTCAAACACTGGAGAAAAAAGGTGTAAATTAGTTTGTAATGATCTTGCAGGAGATAAAGCTTGCAAACTACTAATGTGATCATAAATTTGAATTTGCAGACATCACGACGAATGGTCTGCTGTGTCAGTTCTGCAAGAAAGTGTTTAATCGAGCAGACGAACTGTTCCAACATGTACGTCTAGATGAAAAGTATGACGGCATCGTAGAATTCTGTTCGTCCTGTCGTGCCGTTTTCTACACATCCCAAACTTACCAAGATCACATAATGAAGCACCATTCAGGAGCTAAAAATCAGTGCCCCATCTGTGGAGTCATCGTAAAACATGCTTGCAACTTCCGTCGCCATGTTGCGAGTCATTCTATGGAAAGACCATTTTTGTGTGGCAACTGTAAACACAGTTTCAAAAGGAAAGATCACTTGAAGGACCATCTTATGAAGTGTAACAAAAGTTCCAAAAGCTAACATCTGAAAAAAAGTTTTTCTTTATACTCGTTATTTAATTGTTCTTGTTAATAGACTGCAGCTGAAACTAGAGAAACACGAGAGAAACAGTTTGTAAAGCATTCTTAGCCTTCAAATTTTATATAGCTTGTTTCATGGTGAATATACATGATGTTTGCAGAAATACCTGAATTGTATAGAATTTTATTTTTACATGTAGATTAGTTGCATATTGAAGATAATAATAGTGTGTTTTTTTAAACATGTAAATTAATATTAAAAATTAAATTTGTGAAAAACACTTGTATTTAAGAAATTTATTAATACTTGACTACAGTACTTTAGACCGAAAGGATCTCGTTTGAATGCTATAATTTTACTTTTCATATTCCAAGGAATCGTTTCAATACGCGTCTACAACGAAAATTATTGTAATTTGTAGGTAAAATATATTACAAGATTCAATTTATCATTTGTGGTGATGAAAAATCTTGATTAATGGTGACCCACGAACATTGGTACCTCAAGAAAAATGGCGATTCCACAATACCTATATTTTATGAACTAATTCAGTTTGTAAGTCACACTCACCACTTTTCTATGGTTACTGACATCGGATCTTAAACACGTTTTGAAAATAAATATTTCGAAACAAAACCAAATCCCAACCTTGTACATGTAATTGTTTCCAGCTGTTTGAGTTGTCAAATTAGAGTGTACTGTGTGATAATTCCAGTTCTGCCAAAAATAAACACAATACATGTAAATTCAATGAGTCATTTAGAATTTTGTGTACAATTAAAACTAGCCAAATAGTAGACATATAAAAATGTTCCCATGAACTCCGGTCTATTTACCTATCTTGACGATGTTTTAAATTAAAATAAAGTGAATTTTTCACAAATTCTTTAAAATTGTAGAGTTATCAGTGGAACATGGGCTGCGGTGCAAATTTTGTGAGAGAAAGTTCTCATCAGAAATAGAACTTGTTTGCCATTTAGAAGTAGACGAAAAGTACACTGAAAATGTCAAAGTGTGTAAAATTTGCCATGTAGCTATCTACACGGCGCAGGAATTTTACGACCATGTTATAAAGATTCATCCAAACTTCCGATCTCATTGTCCTGTATGTGGAATGGTGATGAAACATCAGTGCAATTTTCAACGACACCTCACTAGTCATTTTTCGGAGAAGCCTTTCAACTGTGTGAATTGTGGAAATAGCTTTAAAAGGAAAGATAAAATGAAAGCACATGAACGCAAGTGTATGACGCATTCGGCAAACCTCGGGCAGGCTTTCATGAAGGATAATTATCTTGATTTAAAGTTCGACCAAATATAATGTTGGATGCAATATGGCAACATTGTTGAAAAAAGAAATGATGGTTTCAATTTAGAAAATTTCCTGGACATATATGCTTTCATTCATTTTGATTGCTTCAATTGTTGATTTGATCATGTGTTGGATATAGAATTACCTTCGAAAAAAGATTGGGATATTTGCTTATTGAATTAAAATATTTGAAATTGTCTGAAAGGATTTGAATTATTCGACAATGGTTGTCTCGAGGAAATATAAAAAAAAATTGTATACAATATCATCATTGAATGGATAAGAATTGTAAAATATATATGTTTTTATAGTTGTATAGTTTTCGAGTTTAAAAACAGAAATTTTGAACATATTAGATATTAATTTTTTACCTTTTTTAAAAAGATATTTCAGAATGTACACATATAAAATATTAACAAGTATGTAAGGGACATTGTCTGCTAGATATTATCAACTACTGTTAATTATTATTTATTGGGAGAGGGCTAAAATAGGCTTTGCTTGCTGCCCGATCCCATTCACTTTATGTGAATAAAATTTTGTATAAATAAAAAAAAATAATTATTATCATTAAGTTAACTTTGTTAACATAGACGTAAGAATGAAAGTGCATATTTATTTTAATTTATAGGAAGCACTACAAACTCGGGAATGAAGTATAAATTCTGCAAGATTTCTTTCAAAGATGTTCAAAATCTCATCTCGCATTTACGTTTGCACCAAAATTACACAGAAAACGTCGACGTTTGTGCAAAATGTGATCTGGTATTTTACTCTGCCCCTGACTTTCAGAACCATTTGTATAACCAACACTCGGAGGATAAGGATATTTGTCCGGTCTGTGGAATTACAGTGAAGCAAAAATTTCGCAGACACCTTGCGTGTCATTTTGTTGACTGACCATTCGAGTGCTCGATTTGTGGCCGCCGGTTCAAACGAAAGGATAACATGATGGGGCACCAACGTAGATGCAAGACCAAGTCCTAGTGTAATCAAAAGGAGATATACACTCTAATATATCAAATTATCGCATTTTAAATGTCTGTGGCATGCAAGTAATTTGTTAGATTTTTTTGTTGAAATTATCATTTCTGTCATTATCCTTGTTCCTTTCATAGTTATCATTGTACTGTCCGTGCGTGTTTCCACTGTGTTGAAAATTACTTGTTGATTTAATACTGTATATTTTTTTTCCGTTTTTAAGTTACAAAATTGAGTATTTTAGATATTTTCAGAATTCATTTGAAGAATGTTTTTTCCTTATCAGTCAAATGAAAAAAGAAATTTTCAACGAAAGTATCTAATTAAGATAGTTCTAACTTATCTAGGAATAATTCTCAAGGAGTCGTACATGTAAAGAATGTTAAAAGTTTTTTTTCAATGATTTTAGATTTTGAACATGTAATCGTGTTTATACTAGTAGTATGAATCATTGTGTTTTCAGATTAAAAATAAAACAAAATATGAGGCTTTTAAATATCAAGGACAGCACAACTCAATTTTTATTTTAAAGAAGATATGAATTGACTTTTGAAATAAAGCATTTCACAAAATTCACCCTACGTGCTTGTATCATTCATTCATTATTTTATTTCATTAATAACAGTCAGATCTAAAATAATTAACAAATATTCAATTTTTAACTTAAAGTTTATTTCTATTTTTTGATGGGTGAAAAGAAAGAAACCACGATCGTAAGAAAAAAGGAAGGAGTATTTATTGACATTTGTTGAATAAGCGTTTGCTGCAGCTTCCTGTTTTAAAACTAAATTATTTTAAATTTGCAGGCAGCTTACAAGTAATTACTCAGGGACTACAGTGCCATTTCTGCCAAGAAAAGTTCCCACGGCTACAAGATCTTAGTCTTCATTTAAGAGAGAAGGAAAATTACACGAAGAATATCCAGTATTGTTTACATTGTAATCTGGTTTTCTACGCTACCCAGATTTATCAAAACCACATATTTGCAGAACATTCTGAAAACAAAAATTTCTGCCCTATATGCAAAATTCCCATTAAGTATGCTTGCAATTTTCGGAGGCACGTATTAAGTCATTTCGTGGAGAAGCCCTTTCTGTGTGTCAAGTGTGGATGTTGTTTTAAAAGGAAAGATAATCTAAAGAAGCACCAACAGAATCGACATTGTACAAAATGGGAAAAATGTAGCAAAACTCAACCATTAATATTCTAACATCTCAACTGTGTCGATGCCAGCCCACTTGAAAAGCAGTTATAAAAATTTGTTTACGCCACTTGCAAATTCTGAACAGCTTTTTTAAAAAAAAAAAAACGTCTTTCAAATTCTACTTTTTTTCATCATTCCAACGTGGAAAAATGTATTTCTTTGATGTTCTCACAGGAATGACTTTGTTTAAGTGTGTGTTAGAATAAAAGATAGGTCATATGACGTTTATAATTAATTTTGTTTGTATGAAAAAGGTTATCAATACATGTAATATATATATGTATATATATTATAAAGTGATACTTCTGCATTAATAAAAAAAAATAACAGTTGGGTTTGTGTGGAATTCTAATCGATCACCTTTCCATTTTATCAGTAAACAAAAAGTTACAGCGAAATTCAACAAATCGCAAAAGGTACAGCTCTATTCTTTTCTTTATGGAAACGTTTGAGGGTGCTTGATTCACACAAATTAAAAAGCTATAAAGTGTATACTCTCATGTTTGAGAACAAAATAATGAAAGCTATATATGTGTGTGTCTACATTATCTAAATGAGGAAACGTTAATTTTTGACAAGACTTAAGCCCTGTTTTGCTCAGACGTACAGGAATTATAATTATAAAGTTTTGGATTTATGTATCGGATAAATGATCAGGCTACGTTTTAGAGCTTGATCATTCTAGTATAACTAAAAACCTGTTTCATATATATATAGGATATTCAATGTTTTGTATATATATATATTTTTTATAGCCAAGGCTGATAATGCTATGGCCATTTGTGCGGTGTGCGTCGTGCGGTGTGCGGTGTGCGGTGTGCGTTAACTTTTTAATATGGGCCAAAAAAACCCCTTGGCCAATAAAATTTGTCAGTTCCTTGGGGGCTACCATTTATACTAAAATAAGTGTAAAACAAGGGGAGATTCAGGAAAACAAAACCAAAAGTACTGGTTGCAAAAAAATCTTCTTCTCCAGAACCACCGGGCAGATTTTCACCAAACTTACATACAAGGATCAGGATATGTTGATTAAAAATTGTTCAAGGCATGACCCTGGGGCAAAGGGCGTGGTCTCAAGGTCACTTCAAAGTTGAAAATTTACAGTTAATGAAAATGTCTATATTTTGCTTACTATACATCAAATCTTGTAAGTTGATGCATCACAAAAACAAAAGTAGGTCACAGTGACCTACTTTTTTAATTTTGCAGGCATTTGTTTTCAAATTGATTTGAATGCATATTTTGGACACTTTAAGGCCTATGATCATTAAACTTTGTCAGTTGATGCATCTTGGGTCTTCAACTTAAAAGTAGGTTCACACAAATCCTTTTTAAAACAGCTTATTTCAGACAGAGAGGGTGTCTTGTAAGTTGCTCATCTTGGGACCTAAAAACATATTCACTGTGACCTACTTTTAGAATTTTGCAAAATAATGTTTCAAATTGCTTAAAAGGCATATTTTGATTACTATATATGATCATCAAACTTGGTCAGCTGATGCATCTTGAGAGAAAAATGTCGACCAAAATGTAGGTCACCGTGACCTATATATGGCATATTTCAGTATCTAGGTATTTATTGGCTTAGAATAATCAAACTTTGTGAGTTGATTTTTTTTCAAGAGTGACGACCAAAAATTAGGTCACGGTTGCTCAGACTTTCAATATGTTATGGCTATATTTATGTATCTCCAGTACTTATCGGCTTAGAATATAAACTTTGTTAGTTGATGCATCTTGGGTTTTCAGACATTACTTTTGACATTTAATGGCTATATTTATGTATTTCTGGAACTTATTGGCTTAGGATCATCAAACTTTGTTAGTTTATGCCTCTTGGGTTTTCAGATAATGTCGACCAAAAAGTAGGTCACAGTGACCTACTTTTGGCTATCTTATTTATTGGAGCTTTATTCTAGAATTATCAAACTTGGTCTAGCAGATGCAACTTTCATAAATGTCAACCAAAATGTAGGTCATCTACATTTAATGACTATATTTAAGATCTTCAGATATTCTTAATGTTTTTATGTACCTACTTTTGAATATATCAGGTATTTATTGTTTAGAATATCAAACTTTGTCAGTTGAATTTATTTCACGATGACCTACTTTTGACATTTTATGTATATTCAAGAACAGGATTTTTGTCATATGCATTTCAAAATGTCGAGTAGGTCACGATGACCTACTTTTGACATTTTATGGCTATATTCAAGTATCTCCGGTACTTACTGGCTTAGAATCATCAAACTTTGTTAGTTTATGCCTCTTGGGTTTTCAGAGAATGTAATAGGTCATGGTGACCTACTTTTGAATATCTCATATTTATTGGTTTAGAATTATCAAACTTTGTCAGCAGATTTTGATAGTGAAAAATGCTGTCAGAAACCTGGTTATATTTAATTTTCTCTGGTACTTATTGGCTTATCATCAAACTTTGTCATTATGCATAAGGTCAAGGGTCAAGGTGACCTATTTTTTTTTACTTAGCTTCAATCTTAGTTTGTCGTTAGTGAAAACTTCAATCTTAAAGTAGGTCAAGGCTTTAAAAATATCTTCAGTCCTAATTGGCTAAGAATCATCAAACTTTCTATCAGTTGATGCAACTTGGGTTTTAGGGTACTTAGGGTTAGAGGCTTCAAATACAAGTGATAGGTTGTACAATTTATCAGCAAGGCCCTTGGGCTGATATTTTTACGAGTGCGAAGCGGTCACACAAGGAAGATTTTTTTTACAGCAATCTTCGTTATGGGAAGGAAAATCGAGAGTTTTCCCGCCCTTCTGATATTCGTCACACTGGGTATCATTTTGATATCCTTTCACACTGTGACAGGATATCATTTTTATTCAATGAATAAATCATTGTATTTCACGGGTAAAAATGTAATAATGGCCACTACAGGACTTGCTGTGGATGCTGGAACGGTCCTGTTTGATTTTAACATATTTTATGGTAACTTAATTACAAAGGGATTGGGCACATGTTCTGAAAACTTATTACGCCATGTCCTGTGTTTTCAGTATGATGACATAGACCTGTGTTTCTGAGCAGATTCTTTCCATAGTAACTTATATGGATAATGACCAAATGTATAGAGAAGTTACATCTAATATACACTGGACAAAATTGCTAACGCACCACCTAAGAGAATTAATATTTTACTTTTAAAAAATCAAAAAATGTTTAATGTCAAACCTTATAAATTACATGTTAATTGGATATATAAATATGTTACTTTAACAAAAATTCCTATTGCGTCTGCAGGCATATTAATGAATTTCAAACCTTGTTTATAAATCACTTAACAAGCATGTTAATTATAGTTTGTGAATTGCCGCCCGCCTCATTGAAATACAATTCATAAAAAAAAATAAAATCGTGTCTATTTTTTTACCATTTTAGAAAAAGGAATAAAACGCTCATTTTTTTATGATATAGGGAATTTGTATTTGTGTTCTTTCCATTCAAGCGTACTAATTGAAAATAAAAGGTGAAAAAAAATTAAAAATGATATACCGTATACGGCGTTTGACGTTGCAGAATAGAGCGTGAAATTAAAAATATCGCAGACAGTAAATTGCGTCTATTCAAATACAAAAGGTCGGTTTTGAAACTTAAAACTTTCATGGCCAACACTCTAAAAATCTGTAAAAAATAAAAACAATGAAATAAAAAGCTTTTAAAAAGATGAATTTCAAAAAAGATTTTTAAAAAGGTGTTTCAAATTATAGAGAAATTATCAAACATAAAAATGTTTATATAATAAATAAAGAGGAAAATCCAATTGATTTTAATTTCTATTAAATAGCTTCATTAACTTAGCAGCATACAATAAGTTGAAAATTGTTTCACAAAACTGCGTCAACCGGAAGTGGAGTGGATTTGGTATGGACAGTAAGGTATCAGATGATTACTAGGAGATATGAGGGTCAATGACTGCTTGTTATTTGATTTTTATTTGACTGGGGGACTACTCCTGTGGCAATCACAAAGACCCCTTGAGTGATCAAGAATTTCATATCTGTGCAAAAATGGTGCGCAGTGCACAATTGAAAATGGGTTTTCGGACAAGAATGTAATTCAAGGGTTTTTTCATGATACCAAAACATTTGTCAGTCCCACTGCTTCGGAAATAATTGCATATCATATACACTAGTACCGATCCGACAAATGTTCAAATCACAAATAAAAATTAATAAGTGGTGCGTTAGCAATTTTGTAAATATGTACACCTTAATTTTGGATGTTGGATCCGACTAGGTTATAGATTTTTGGTTTTGGTGATAAATGTAGGAATGAAAATACTTATTTGCTATAGATTTTGGATAAGATCTACATTTGCTGCACGAATGGCAAGCCCATGCCGACCAAATTAGCTTGGATTATGCATCTAGGGATGCATACTACCAGACTTGCCTCAGATTTTGCAGATGATTGAATAGAGAAAAAAATATTTTGGTAAAGTTTATTCCTTGTTAACAAATTTCAACATCATCTGAAAATTACACTTTAAGGTGTACCAGGTATACGCTATACTACGTAATGACAATCTATACATGAGTCATTTTTCCTAAAACATATTTGCATATGATTAATTGATAATTTGGATACTTAGGTAGTGTTTTAACTTATTTACTTAGGAAACAACTTGTATGAATGGTGAATTTTATGGCATCATTGAACTAAAAATACATGTAAGGACAACTCTATTGTGATAGATTTTACAACCTACATTATTTGTGTACTGTTAATAAATAAACATAAAATGCTATAATCTTCCAACTTCTATATCAAATGAAAATACAAAGTTATGCATTAAGCGAATAATTTTGTTACTGATGTTGTACAATTTTACATTCATTTGTTAATGTTTACGTATTCCTGTTAGCGCTGTTAATTAATAAAGCTATCGTTGTAGTAATTGCGATGATAAAGCCAAAGATGGCTAAAGCACTAACGACAAGAGACATACATTTGTAATATCTTCTCATGGGATAAAAACGTTCTGTTTTTGCCTGTAAGATAAAGAAAAAAAAATTGTTTACATATTGCAGCAAATTGGCTGTAAAGTTGTAGCAGTTAAAGTTAAAAGTCTTTGCTGAAAGATAAAAACATATTGACGATGTCTGTAGATGAATAAGAGAATAAAGGAATCAAAATATGCAGTGTTTATTAATTTGAAAAATAATATGCAGTGCACATAACTGAATAGTTCTTCAAATTACTTAGCATGATGGTTAATTATGAAATTTACCATATAAGCGTAGCAAACGGAGAAAACACCAACAGGACAATTAAGCACAAGGCTTGTAATGGAGCAGCATAGCATGATAGCTAAGGAGACTTCCCTCTTGGTTTTATTGGATTGATTTCCATTACCGTTAGAAACCGCGTTAACCTATAAGAATAAAAAAAAAAATGCTTAAAAATGACATAAATTTTGCATGGAGGTGGGGATCAATTTTCGCGGTTTAATTGATGGTACCTTGGAATTTGACTTCATAATTTGATGAATTTCACACGACACCCTCCTATGAAATTTAAACATTTCATGGAGGAGATAAATTCGTGCATGGTTCTCTTCATTCCAAGAAAAACAGAGAAAATTAGCTCCATGAAAATTATTTCTCACCACCAATTTGAAAGAATGAAATCATTCAACAAACAAAACAACAAAGTTCAGTTGACGGTTCTTGTGAGTGCTACATCCTGTACCTGTTGATAAGGGGGGCTATATACGCGGTCTGCCAGTCTTTCGTACTTCACAGTTCCTGTCCTGATCCCATTCAATAAGTCATCATACCTCTCGTTTTCCCTCAGTACTGAGTAATTGTGACATTGTTCGTACCCTAAAGTGTCATAGGGATCTATCTCCGAGGTAATTGTGGGAACCGGTGGCTGATTGTTAGCGCCAGGGGCATTATGATCGTGTAGAGCAGATTGATTCGTTGCATTTCCAGTCACTGCCACTAAGATAAAAACGTTATTTAACATTATTTACCATGTTCAAAATATATTGATATACATTTTTTGAAAACTGTCAAATCCGAGACTTGTTTAACCGTTACACTGTAAATTACGATGTTACATTCCCTTCCCATTTTACTATTTTTCATGTTTCTGTACGCTGACCAATCTGACACCCTGTTCATTCCGACAGAAAATTCCTTTCCCAGTTCATGTCGGATAGGACGGGTTTCACTGTATTTACAGTTTGATATTCTTCTCTTCTGTTTGCTTCCTGTAACCGTGTTTAGATAAATAGCAGTCTTAAAAGATAGCTGTGAATTACTTTGATATTGAGAAATATTTTTATATACATGTACCTGTAATTTCTGCAAGATCACTTGGTGGGTTATCATGCGAGATTGGTTCCAGGTAAGAGGATGCTGTTGACTTTCTAGTGTTGTCTGTTATTGAACAAGACGTGTACCAATTTTAAAATCTTATTGATGATTTTACAACATATAGATTTGTGAATGTTAGTGTTCATGTAAGTATACTCCATTATGAAAATATCAAATTACTTGTATTTAACATTTTTCACGACAGGTTTGTTTTATTCATACTTGAATAGAAAAATTTTAAAAACGTCTAGAAAATATCGCTTATAATTATGCAAGACATTTTAAACGTCGTGCTTAACATTTTTCTACTTAATTTTGTAGACGAGAAGGAACATGCTGACTAGTACTTTAATCACTTCAAATTTACAGAAAAAAAATTTGTGAAATTATTTTTAACGTTTCAAATTCAAAAAATATTCATGTCCTCCTGTATAAAGATTAACCCATGCGATCATTTTTGAGTAAATTAAATTTAAAGCATCATAATATTAATCTATTAAATAAAAAAAAATACAAACCTTGCATTTCATCTACCTATCATATATACATATTTACATAGGTTTCAATGTGTAATATTACACGTATTAATTGCATTTCCTCTATCTATCATGTACACTGTATGACAGAGGTTTTGTACAAACGTCATTGTTCTACATAATGGCAAGCTTTTAAGGTCTTATTGGTTCATTGTTTGCTAAAATTAATGATGTCCTTATAAATTTATAAGGATGTAGGAAGTAAGACTTGTCATAGCTAACTGTCATTAAGATGAGTAAATTATAAGTCAAGTACTTCCAAAACTCGTGAAGTAAACAATTTTATGAAGATGCAATTGAACACGTATCCCGTGCTGATGATAGTAGATGTTTGAATAAAATATACAAAATAATTTATACAATATGTATCTATGATACCCATTCATTTGAATTGTCTCCCATTGAAAGGGAACACGACATTCCTTTAAACACACACAAATCGTTCTTGTTCCAAGAATGCTTTGTAGCAATTTTGATTGAAATTGACAAAGTGATTTTAGGAAGAGTTTGAAAACGCGAAGGTTTAAACACACATTAGACGGCGCACATAAACCTTTGACTCAGGTGAGCCAAATTGTATGAAATCAAATTGTCAATGCCTCATCAATGTAAAAAAGGAATATGAATCCAGAATTTTCGAAATGCAGATCATCTCTTATTTTTATATTGATCTGGTAAATATTCCCCCTTATTTTTAGTGGCTACCTGTACTACTTCAGTATGATTTCTAGCGTAGTAGCGCTTATCCTGTCATTGCTGATTTCTCCACCTTAATTTATTTTCCTCCACATAATATGACTTCACTTTGAATCTTGGTGACTTGGTGACTTGGTGACTTGACATTTAGGATTTGTTTTGTATATGTACTATCCTCTTTGCTTAGATAGACTGTTTTAAGTCTGAAAATCAATTCTGTTTTGACACATCTCCTGTGCACTCTGATTTGTACCAACACAATGCATTTCATTGAAGATTTTGTTATTGTTTGTGATACAGTTGGAAAATAATGTGTACAGAGATCAGAATCAAGTATATAAGTGACAATTAAATGCTTTATCGAAGCCATGTCATTTCAATTCATAAACCATATAATAACGGCCCAAATTATTATTTCAAAATCGGTCAAATGCCAAGTACACTGCAACGCAGAAAATTTTCACAACATTTTTTTTTCTAAGACATGAGAAAAACAAACTTTCTGTGACCATGGTGATCGTTTTGAAAATATCGATAACATTTAATTAATAGGCAACCACTGTTTTCCAGCAAAAATAGCAACACTGTTCCATAAAACTATTATGGTACTGCTTAAAATATATAGAGAGGATTTAGAAATTTGGTTTTCTACTCTTTGGCACCCAAGGTGAAAATAATATAATAATCAACACTTGCAAAGTATTGTAAAGTATGTATTTAAAAAAAAATATTCAAATGATAATGACTAAATCATAGAAGTACATTGTAGTTTGGAAAAAAAATTTTGAGTGAGAGACTGAGAGACCACTCTGACCAATAAACAAAAACGTTTTAGAAAGTGCATGTAAAAAATCAAAACAGAAAATAATTTGCTGTTATGTGATACTAGCTGTTGTAATTATACTTAAAAAAAAATACAAGTTTCAACTGATCATGACAAAAAAGTTTAGTTCACTGAAATAGTACCTGTATTGCATTTATGAATTTGAAAATTAGGTTGCAATACTAATTTAAGTCCGTGAGTACTTATCGATCAATAATACGCTTGATCTATATCTGTTTTCAATAAAACTATTTCTGTACGTAGAACAAACAATTAAGTCTTGTTTAATTTAAAAGATAAAGAATGAATTAATTTTTTTCATCAGTTTTAAATTAATCTTTAAAACTGCTGAAAGAACTTTAAAAGAAAAGGTAAACAGATGTGTAATTTAACAACAAAAGTTACATCAATCATAAAAAGTTGCAGAGTTTAAGTAATTTTTAAAAATTTCAGCAACACTCATGGCATATTCTAATTAATTGTATGTTCATGACGTTAAAAGAAATTGATTCCTGAAGCAATTGCCCACAACACCTTATGGGTTTTTTGGCATCTCAACCCAAAAGATGACAGAATTTGCCGTTATGATCGGATGTTTGTCTCTGTCTACCTTCATGAGGGTGACAATGTGTAGCTATATGGAAGTAGAATCGAATCTTCAAATAGAACTTTTGACAGGGTACAATTTCAACGTTCGCCCTACTTCAAATGGAACCGAGAAAACTGTTATTGGATATGACTTCTACATCAAAAGCATCAACGATTTCAAAGAAGCAGAAGGAAAACTGTCTCTTACAGGATTACTTTCAGTTTTTTGGAGAGATCCTAGATTGTCATGGTCAACCTTATTACCACCTTATAACGTAATTAATTCAACGTCATTTAAGTCATTTCAGGTGTGGACCCGCATTTTATTTTATCAAATGCGTTTGGAAGCTTTAGAAGACTTGGCGTTGACAGTGGGGCAGTGCATTATAGCTCAACAGGTTCTGCTCTTATGTATGTTGCAGATATGTTTGAGGCTAAGTGTCTCTCAGATGTTCGATCATACCCATTTGATGTGCAAAAATGTCAACTAGAGATTGTACCTTGGGGTATAAAGGTACTACATTAAAAATTATTTCCCAACAGGAACCTGTCTCGCTTCAGTTTTATACCATGAGTGGCTTATGGGATATCAAAAATACACCCACCTACGTATTGCCTCTCCCATTTTTTGACCAAATTACAGTTTCAGTTGAAATAGGTCGGCGTACACTGTACCATATGATCTTGTTGATGATTCCATTGTGTATTCTTAGCATGCTTCCCACTTTGGTATTTCTGATACCAGTAGAATCTGGAGAACGATTGGGATACGCAACCACAAGTTTGTTGTCGCTCCTGCTTTATCAGACAGCCATAGCTTCGAAGCTTCCAGAATCATCGATCCCTGGACTTTCACTGTTAATATTAAAGACATTTGCAGAATTCCTACTAGCTTGTATCATATTAGTTATGGCAGTTTACGCCATAAAGTTTTACTATTATGATGAAAATACACCAATTCCAAAACTTATGATTTTCCTGCATTGGATCATGACAAGGAAAAAAGAAACTGTAATACATAATAAGAAAGTCCATTCGGAATCGGAAAACGAATCCAAAGTGAAGACAGTATGGAAGGAGGAACCTAGAATGACATGGCAAGACTTATCCCATAGTTTTGATAAATTCTGCTTGCTTTTTTCAATATCAATATTCATCGGGGTGAATATCGTGTTTCTTGTTTTGATTAACACACAAAAGTAAACATCGATTGTGATTTCTCTATGGTTGTAAAGGTGAAATGGGTTCCTCACAAACAAGATGACATAAACACATTACATAAATAAGTATTGTAATAATGAAAAAATATATACGCAAAAACTATATTCAATTTCTTTATTACAATTACAATCAAATGAATGTGGGATCAGTTGAAGATATAAGAAAATAAATTTCCTTTCCTCAATGATTATTTTCAATTTTTTTGTAGAAATGTTTGTGAATTTACACACAAGTACTCTATTATTCACATTAAATGATGCTTGTGTTTCTTCATATGAGTGACAAATTCTTGAGAGAGAAGTTAGACAACAAACAAACAAAGAAAAATCATACATGAGTTTCAAATTGAAAAAAAATATATGCAGATTTGTTAGATCAAGTCTTCTGAATTTACACTGGTACCAATTGCGTCCCGTTATGCATGTTATAAGTATAAGTAGATCTGTTTTTGTTTCGATCATATACTTACATCAGATATTATTCTAATAATTCTTCTTCAAAAAGTCACTTGCGAATTAACATTTAAATACATCGATGATTCCCTATTAAAAATAATCATTTTTCATTTCAACGTTTATTCATTATATCCTTGGAAAATCGTAATAACAGATACCAAACATTTGAGAGTTTAACATACATGTATCTACGTACATGTAGTATATATTTCATTTGGAAATGTTGCAAAAGCTACAATGGACCTCTTATTTGGAAAATTCGAAACTCATAAAAATTTAACACCTTAGTATTAGATGTAATCAGTGAACAGGTATCTTATCTCTTACCTCTCTCTGACCCGCGGGCAACTGTAATTAGGTCAAACAGCATGTCTTGATATTGCATCTGTGTTTTATAAGTATAGCACTATATTCACGTCAAATTCAACCTCTTGCATTCATTTCATATATATATAGAATTCATTATCGTGACATTAGGAATATTAATAACTGGTGTGTTGATTTTTTTTTGTGTTCTTCTGTTATTCTTCTTTTAAGTATTTAAAGTACAGCAACACAATAATATCTAAATATTTGTCGGAAATGTAGTATCATTCTGTACAATTGTACATTTCAAGCATAATCACTATCAATCTGAGCTAGATTTTCTATTTTTCTCATTCTGGATGATTTGGCCGTTGTGTGAGCAAAGTTCAACCTTTAAATTTCAGATTATTGCTAAATTTTAGTATTATCTTTTACTTTATCCATACTCGATACACAAGTGTAT